CCCCCCCCAGCCCCCCTCATGTAAATTCATGGTGTGGGGTCCGTTCGTTCCATGAGTGCTCGGGGGGCGATGGAGCAGCACTCGTTCCGGCCGCGCCATCGCCACTGGCTGCCCCCCTCGTGGGCAGCAGGTGGGTGTGGAGGCAGCCCCCCGCCTCCTCTTCACCTGCCGCAGCTCAGCTGGGGGCTGCGACCCCCTTGCCACAGAGGGGGGGCGGCTGGCAGCGACTGGCAGGGCCGGTGGGAGCTCAGGGCTGTAGCCCGGCTGGTCGGCGCGGCCTCGAGACAGCCGGGGGGATGCCGGGGCCCGCGTTTCTTTCCGGGGGTGGGGGGCTGGCAGGCCCCCCTCCAGCCTCGTCAGATCCACTGGCACAGGGAGGGCCGCCCCGGGACGGAGGGGGCGTGCGGTGGGTTTCCGTCCTTTCATCCGTCCTGAAGTGGCAACCCGCAGTCTCCATTGGCGCCTGGAGGGTTTTGCCCGCCTGCCCAGCCCCCCCCCCGGAAAGCAGCTGGTCCACAGGCCAGGGGGGGTTGCGTGGGGGGTTTCTCTGCCGGGGTCCGACGAGCTGCCGGCGTGCAGGGAGCCTGGCCCCCTCGGCCCCCGGAGGCTGACGGTGGGGGACCCCCGTCCTTGGCGGAGGGACGTCATGCCACTGCCCCCCCCTCCCCGGCAGAGCCTGGCCACCCGCCTGAAGGAGAACATGGAGAAGCTGACGGAGGAGCGCGACCAGCGCGCGGCGGCCGAGAACCGGGAGAAGGAGCAGAACAAGCGGCTGCAGCGGCAGCTGCGGGACGCCAAGGAGGAGGCGGCCGAGCTGGCCAAGAAGGAGGCCGAGGCCAGCCGGAAGAAGCACGAGCTGGTGAGCGGCCGCCTCCGGGCGGGCTGGGGTCCGGGGGGCCCGGCAGCGCGCTCACGTCCCGCTCCCCCCAGGAGATGGACCTGGAGAGCCTGGAGGCGGCCAACCAGAGCCTGCAGGCCGACCTGAAGCTGGCCTTCAAGCGCATCGGGGACCTGCAGGGCGCCATCGAGGACGAGATGGAGAGCGACGAGGACGAGGACCTGATCAACAGGTGGGGCGCCGGGCGGGGGGGGGGTGCTGCTGCCGCGGAGGGCACCCCGCTGCCCTTCGCAGTGGCCACGGGAGGGAGGCCTCCGGAAGGCCGCTTGGGGTGGGGGAGCGACCCTCAGGCCCCGCATCCCCAGGCCGGGGGCTTCCGCACACCCTCGCGCCCCCCGCCCCGCCTTCCGTCCTCTCGCCCCTCGGCGCGGGTCGCTGAGCCTTTGCTCCCCTCGGGCTCCCCTTGCCCCCCTTCGCCTCCCGGCCCCGCCGGTGCTCCCCCCGCCCTCCCTGCCCCCCCGTGCCCCCTCCCCACGCCCTGCCCGTTCCTTGCGCCTTACTCTCTGTCCCCCCCTTCTCCCAGTTTGCAGGACATGGTGACAAAGTTCCAGAAGCACAAGACTAGGCTGTGAGGCTGAGTCTCTCTCCCCACTTCCCCGTAACACCGTGTGGCGCCTAACCTCCTGGCATGGCGTGTGGGGGGCCCCCAGCCCCCCAGTGTCGTTGCATGCCCTCCCACGCATGTGCCTTGACACGGAAGCTCTAACCCGTCTTCCACATGCGTAACCCGTAACCCTGGGGCCGGGGGGGGGGGCGTATCCGGAAGGGCGGTGTGCCATGCTTGGGTTCGGGCGTGTGTGGCGGTGGGGGGGCAGCCGCTCAGGGCTGGAGAGGCGCCAGACGCTCTGCCTCAGGCGCCGGAGTCCATCGTGCGGTGGGTGCGCGGTCCCGTGTGAAGTCCCCCCGGGGGCCCGTCTCCGAGGGGGGCATCATGCCCTCCCTGGTGGGGGTGGGGGGCTGCCCCCGATCCCAGGAGGCCCCTCCTGCCTACGTCCCCGTGCTTCCAGCGCAGTCGGCTTGCGTTTCGCTTGCCGGCTGAAGCGTTGCTTTGGGCTCATCAGCGGTTGGCGTCCGGGGGACCCTCAGCCGGCGCGAAGGGCTCCCACGCTGCCGTGCAAAGGTGCGCTCGTCGGCGTGGGAGAGCTGAAGCGCACCAGTGGCTGTCGGCCCACGGGGTGGAAGGCGTCCCAGGGCCAGGCGGGCCGCTTCTCCGCTCGTGCGGACCCAGGGGCCATGGGCTGTTTGATGGTTAAACAACCCTCAGGCAACCCCCGCACAAGCCGCGGAACCCTTGCCGGCCGATCGGCACGCGGGGGCTTCCTGTGGCATGTGAACGGCGCCTGTCATTCGTGAATTGGCTCTCCACGGCCGGGTGCGGAGCTGCTCTCGGGTGGGGAGGCGAGGGAGGACCGAAAGGCCCCCCAGGAACGTTCCTGCCTGGGCTTCGAGCGGCCTGGGTCCCCGACATGCTGCCCGCATGCGACAGGCCGAGAACTTCCCCTGCGCGTGACAATGTCGCGAGCGGCTTCTGCCAGGGGTGTGTGGTCCATCTGGCACCGCTGGCATCCCGCCGGCCACGGCGCGCCATGTTTCAGCCGGGGATCTTTCGTGGCCCCCCCCGGAGATGCCGGAGGTCGAACCGGGACCTGGCGCAGCGAGCAGAGGCCTGCCTTCGCCCTTCGGGGTGGCCCCGTGTCCCGGCCGGGGGGCTGCTCCCTGGCCCCGCATCCCAGCCAGGCGGCTTCACGCGGAATCTCCTCCCGGAGCTCAGGACGGGCTTAGCGGGGCCGTGGCAGGATCTGTCCCGCCTAATGATAAATGTAATTGTGTGCAGCAGGTGATGGAAGGCCACGCGAGCCTCGTTGTCACACAGAATTAATGTCCCGCACAGTTCAGTCTGCGTTTGCCCGCTCCCTGGCGATTTGGATCCCAGTAAACTAATGGCACACTCGGCCGGACATAAATTGCCTTTGACGTGAGGTTTAATTCCGACAATTTGAAATCGCAGCTGCCCCTGGAGTTTGTTTACAGGTCTCCTCGGCTTTCCGTTGTTTCCCCAAGGCAGCAAAATAACCAAGGGGAAGACACCTCCTGGCGTTTATTCCCCGAGCGGGAGATGTCTGGCGGAGCAAGGGGGGGCTCGTTGCTTTGAATTTAACAAGGGGGATTCGGGTGCAGAAGAGGCACCTGTCTGAGCGCTCACGCCATCGAGCGGAGAATCGGCCGGCGGTGAGGGGTGGGGGCACTCACAAAGCCCCCGTTAGACCCCTCTTCTGGGGTGGGCAGGGCATTCTGGACTTCCCAGGGGTCTGGAAGAGCCCTTCCGCTCAGCGCCGCGGGACGTGGGGGAAGAATTACTGAGCCCGCAGAGCTCCGAAGGGGAGCCTCGCTCCCGATTTACGTATAGATACACCGGTTATTGCCGTAATCGTAATGCAAGCAGTAAACGGCGGGTGCATTAGGGAGAGATTTATACAGCCACGGCTCCGGGCGTGCAGAAATGGCTCCTGGCCCCCCCCGCCCACCCCCCCCCGCGGTAACTGCACTTTGGTCCTCCAGGCAATCAATACAGTTATGAACGCCACATATAAATCTGGCGGCGTTAAGCTGGATGGGGCCGTGCGCATATAAATCAGGGGCCGCGCTACCTGCTGCAGGAGGTTCGGGGCTGTAAATCCTCCCGCAGCCGAGCTGGCCGTGTGGCACTGGATCCGCTTGCCGGGGCCGGCAGCACCCTGCTTTCCCTGCAGGCCCCGGCCGGGGGGCAGGCACAGTCCAGCGTGGGCCCAGGAGGGGCGGCCGGATGCGTTCCTGCCTTCCCGGAGCCCCCGTGTCGCAGGGCCCTTCTTGATCTTCGGGGGGGAAATGGGTCGTGCCGGGAGTTGTGGGCAAGGACGGAGCCCCTGTCGGGCCGCCTCTTCGGAGAAGCCGAGCCCCTCAACCCGGCCGCTGGGAAGGGCGGCGTGGCTTGCAAATCCATGGGGCACAGCCAGCCCCCGGGGAACGGGGGAGTCGGCCCGGTACCGGCCGGCCTTGCCGATGCTGCATCTCGCGGGCTCGCTCTCTGCTCTGACATCCCCGTTTTAATCTAGCAGCACTTAAGGGCCCCCCTTTCTTCCCTTCCCTTCCCTTCCCCTCCCAGCGCCGCCTCGCTCCCCCAGCCCACCGCCCTCCCAGCTCCCGCGGCGGCGCTTGCGTGGGGCTATTTATAGCCGCTGAATAGCCGGCCAGGGCTCCTCTCCTCTCCCCGGCGAGCCGGAGCTTCGAGTGGGTGCTGCGATCTTTCCATCGAAGCTCTCGAGGCCTGTTGAGATCTGAAAGGCTGGGGGCGGGGGGCAGGCCGCCTCCGCGAGCAGGCGGGGGGTTCTTGGAGTTGCCGAGCCCATGCCCTCGGAATGGCCAAACGTGCGGGGTTTGGGGGAGCAGGAAGGAGGAGGGGGGACAGCAGAGAGTTAGGGGGGCCGTTCTCTCCGTCCTCCGGCCCCGCTGCCGTCGGGGGACCGAGCATGTGTGCGGGGCGTGCAAAAGCGGCATGCTTTTGGAAGGGGCCTGTCTGGCGGAAGAGAATTCCTTGGCTGCCTCCGGACACCTTGCTCCCGGTGTTTCCTCGGGGCTGGGAGGACCGGGAATGGCACGGCCCTGCGGAGGGCCGGCCTGCGCAGGTCAGCGGTGCCAGTGGCCGCAGAGCCCGGCAGCTCCTCGCCGGGGGGCCGGGCAGCCGCCGTGGGAGCGGCCCAGCCCGGGTGGGCGCGTTCGAAGCCCCGGGCCTGCGCCGGGGCTGCCTTCGGCCTCGGGTCCCGCGGGGCGAATGCAGGCGGCGGCCCCGGGTGGCTCGCCGCCTCCGCTACATCAGGTGCAGCGTTGTCTTGAACCGGAGCTGGATCGGCCCCCCGGCCCATGTGGCCCGGCGCTGGCCCACCGGGGCTTCAGCCGGGAGAACCTGCCCCGGCTGGGGGCGGAGCCTGCGCCTCCTGCCTGCCCTGCCATGGAGCTGTTCTCCTCTGCCTGCACATCGAACAAGGAGCTAGTCCTCATGGTTCTTGGCAGCGCCTTACTGAGGCAGCGGTGGGGCGAGAGAGGCGGGTGCAGGCGGCACAGCCATGCCCCGGCCCCACGTGACCCCTTCCGGCCCTCTGGTCCGGGCCCGAGCTGCAAGGGCAACTTGGCCGAGGAGATGGGGCCGAAGAGGCACCCCCCCGTAAGCCCCCGGCAGGCCCGGCCGGGGGGGCGCGTGTGACCCCTCGCCTCGTGTGTGCTGATTCTTAACCCTTCCCTGGCTGGCCTTTCCGAGCACGTTGCATGCCGGGCGCCCCCCGCCGCGCTCCCGGGGCCGCCCTGACCTCTCCCCGCTTCTGCTTGCAGCGAGGGCGACTCGGACGGCGACTCCGAGCTCGAGGACCGCGTGGACGGCGTGAAGTCGTGGCTGTCCAAGAGCCGGGGCCCCGGCAAGGCGGTCTCCGAGGACGGCAGCCTGAAGAGCAACAGGTCAGCCGGGGCTGGGGGTCCCCGGGAGGCATCGGGCGCGGGCCCCCCCACTTGCGCTCAGCGGCGCGGGCGGGCGGGGGGGCTGGGAAGGGTGGGGCCTCGGCCAGCCCCAAGCCCCCCATGCAGAGTCACGGCCCGGCCCCTTTGGAGGGAAGGGGGCGAGGCGGACGGAGGGTTTCGGCATCAGGACGGACGCATGGGGGGCTCGCCCTTGTCCCCCCCCCCCGGCCTGGTGACTCTTCCGGATTGTGCTAGGAATTCACCTTTGGGGCTTCCCTGCTCCCACATCCTGCAATAGGTGCTGGGGCTTCTTCCCCACATCCCCCTAAAAACCCACCGCAGGGACCACAATTCGGGAGGGAAGCCTTGCCCTGAGACGGAGGCGGGGAAAGGAGGCTGGGCGGGGGTGGCCCTGATCCCCTCTCCCGGGGTCCCCCCATCCCCGGGCAGACCTGGGAACCGTGCCGGGGGCGTCCCCATCGGGTCCCGTCGGGGACAGTGAGCAAACGGACCCCGCAGAGCCCGGGGGCCCCTGCCTGGGAGCGGGGGGGGGCTCCCTCTTGCCCCGGGGCAGGCATTCGGTCCCTCTGCTGGGGCGAGGGTCCGGGTGGCCCATGTGGCATCTCCGGCTTGCCACAGAAGCTGGCCCACAGCGGTTTGCAGCGAGTGTGGGAAGGCCCCCCACGCCCGCTCGTTCCTCGGGGGCCGGGCGTCTCCCTCTGCCCCCACGCCCCCCAGCGCCCCGTGCCGGCAGTCCCGGCCCGCGTCCTCCGCTCTTCCCCGCCATTGGAAGTGACCAGGTATCCGCGGGGGCTATTTATAGCACACCTGTTGCCATGGCAACCGGCAGCCCGGTGCGCGGCGCACGGTCCGGGCCGACAAAGCCCTTTTGTGCTCCGCGGAAGCGGGTGCCCCCCAGGGGCGCTCCACAAAGGGCGCCTCCGCAGCCCCTTCTTGCGGCCCAGCAGGTGCAGGGAGGGCTGCTGGATTGGGGCCGCCACCGGGGGCCTCCTGCACCTGCTCCGGGGAGGGTCTGTGGGCACCCCCTTTCTTGGCCTCCCCTCCCCTCCCCCTCGCAGCCCCCTCCCCACACGCCCCGGAGCGCCGGGCCGGGCGGGGGAAGAGCGGAGGCGCGCTCTTAATTGGCTTAATTTATGCGTCAGCATGGATGTAAAACATTTTGTTACGGAAAATAATGCCTCTCTTTGTGTGTGCCGGAGCCGGGGAGTCGGGGGCTGCGTGCCGCCGGCGCTTTCCCGGTAGTTGACAAGAAAACAAATTGGAAGCGTGGCAGCTGCTCGGGGGGAGGCGGCGGAGCCGAGCGGTGCCCGCCTGCATCGCAGCCCTGGCCGGCGGAGGGGCTCCTTCGGCCCCCCGCCTCGCCTGCTCCCTCTCACGTGCCCACTCACCTCGGCCTCTCTCTCTCTCTCTCTCTCCCTCTCCCCCTTCCTCTTCCTCTTCCTCGCCCGCCTCCCCGGCTGGGCGCAGGCCCGGCCCGCCCCCCGCGGCCAAAGAGGCCAAGGAGGCGGAGGAGCGGCCCGTCTCGGTCATGAGCTCGCTGAGCTACAGGAAGCGTGCCGCCCTCAAGGACTCCATTGGGGGCCACGGGGACGAGGAGACCCTCTTCTCCACGCTGAGCGAGCGCCCGCCCTCTCCCGAGCGCCCCCCCCGCAAGGCCAGGCAGGGCTCGGCGGCCGGCAGCCTGGACGGCGGCGGCGGCTCCGTGGCCTCGTGGAAGAAGCCCGCCGGGGGGCCGGGCGACGCGGACGAGGGGGCCTCGCTGCTCTCGCAGCCCCTCTCCGAGGCCGGCGGCCGCCTCCCCGCGGGGCTGCAGAAGCGCTGGTCCGTCTCGGCGGCCGAGTTTGACGAGGCCTCGCTGCTCTCCGGCCCACTCAGCCTCGGGGGCGCCTCCTGGGGCGGCCGGGAGGATGACGCCCGCTCGGCCCGCAGCCTGGCCCTCTCCAGCCCCGGCAGCCTGCGGCGCAGCACCTCCCGCCTGGACGCCCTGGGCCTGTCCGGCAGCCGCCCGGGCTCGCGGGCCTCCTGGGGCCGCCCGCCGGCCGACGACGCGGCCAGCCTGGCCCCGAGCGACTCCCGCTCGCTCTGCAGCCAGCCCTCGCTGGCCCGCAGCCTCTCCGTGCCCCCGCGGCCCCGCTCCGCCGCCTCGGAGGAGCCGCTGGCCGGCGACCCCGACATCCGGCCCGTCGGCCACCGCAGCTACCTGGACCCGGCCCTGGAGGCGGCCATCAACGAGGTGCTGAACTACAAGCCGGTGAAGTTCCGGCGCTCCCGCCTGGACCGCGACTCGGAGGACGACGACGACGACGACGACCGCAGGAGCGTGCGCAGCGCCAAGAGCGCCGTGCTGCTGGACAGGGCGGAGAGCCCGGCCGGCAGCCTGCGCCGCTCGGCCTCCGCCATGGATTTCTCCCGGCCCCGCAGCACCAAGGGCAAGGGCTGGCGGAGGAGCCCCTCCTCCTCCTCCTCCTCCTCCTCCTCCTCCTCCTCGTCTCCGGAGCCGTCCCGGAAGGGCTCTCGGAAGCACGGCAAGAAGTCCAAGAAGAAGTCCAAGAAGAGGAAGCCGCGCTCGCGCTCGCGCTCCTCCTCGGAGTCCTCCTCCGACTCCTCCTCGGGCTCCACCGTCTCGTACCGCAGCAACTCCAGCGTCAAGAAGGGCCCCCGGCGGGGCAGGCCGCTCTCGGGGGGGGAGGAGGAGGACGGTGGCCCCGGCGGGCCCAAGGAGGGGGCCGAGGCCGGGCGGTCGAGCAAGCAGCGCCGGAAGGCCGAGAAGCAGCGCAAGAAGCAGGTGGACAGTCTGATGATGAAGTACCTGTACCGGCCGGAGAGCGACTAAGGCAGGTGGCCCGGCGTGTGTCCTGCACCGGACTAACCCAACCGGCGTGTGGGGCCAGGGCCTCGGGGGGCCAGGGCCTCGGGGGGCTGCCCTCACCCCGGACGGACGGCGTGTCAACTAACCAGCCTGGAGCCGCGACCGGCACGGCCCTGCATGCTGGCCGCATCCCCGAAGCAAGGCACTCGCGCCTCGCGGTTTCTAACCCCCCGCCCCGGATGCGCTCGGTGGGGCCTCGTCCGTAAGGATTGCTCCGGCTGGAGACCGAGGCCCCTCTGGCTCCGCGTTTCGTTCCCGTGAGGATTTGCTGCAGGAGGGGCTGGGGCGCGGGGCTTGCATCCTCCCGGGCCTTTTCAGGGCTGGGCTGGATTTGGCTCCCGTGCGACAAGGGGGTCTCCAGCAGCACCCCGGCCCGGAGATGCCGTGCGCCCGGCGGACCCAGGGCAGCTCGCGTGTCGCGGGGTTTTCCGAAGGGGAGCCCGTCTCGGGAGGAGCACGGCCCCGTTCCGGGCTCTCCTTCCCACCTCTCTTGGCCGGGGGACCAGCTCCTTTCCGAGGGCCTTCCCTTCGCCTTGGCCGACGCAGGGCAGGGCTGTCCCGGCCTGGCTCCTTCCTCGTGACGTGGAATTGGTCGTATTTACGTCCCAGCTACCCACGTGTTGCCGAGGGTCCCAATAAAGCCACCGTTAAAATAAAAGCCGCCAAACGCAGGAGCAACAAAAGCCATATAAAAGCGTAAAATGATCGTAAGCCACGGCTTTATGCAGTCAAATTAAAGAGCAGCACATGGTGCCTTTTAGCTTCTTTGCAAAAACCCGCCCGCCCTCTGCTCTGGAGGGAGAGCGGCCCGCAATTCGGGAGCCTCTCTGCCGATCCATTCGGACTTGGGGACCCCCATGCCCTGGAAACTGAGACCGGCGCCTCACTTGGCTCCTGGCGGCAGGCGGCGATCCTCTCGGATCTTTCCACGCTACAGAAGACGCTTTCTGTGGCAGCCGTCCGGCCATGAGGACCGTCCCCGGATCGGGAAGCACGCTGAGCCTCGTGGATCCAGAGGCCACGGGCTGAGCGTCCCCGGGGAACGGCCCCTTCCCGGCAGGGGTGTCCTTCCCCCACGCCGGCCGTCCTCCTGAGCGGCGCCACCGCTCTCCCCCCTCGAGCCAACCTCGGCTCATTCACGCGCGCCTTCCGAGGACCGTCCTGCAGGGGCCCTGCGGCTCTCGTGAGAGCTGGGCTTCTTTCTTTCCCTTTTGATAGCCGGTTCCTGGCTCCCATCGCGTGAGTCTGAGAGCCCAGAGGGTCTCGCACGCCCAAGGGCTCGGGTGGGCAGTGGGGGGCCGCCCAGCCCACGCCTGCCCACTGGGGCCGCCTGGCACCCAGCCGGAGTGTTTGGGCTGGGGAACGGGTGTTCCCATGGCCTGAGCGCCCCATCCCCCTCGGGGACGCGGCCACCGTCTCCCCAGGCGCGGAGGTGGAGGGGGGCATTCGCCCCGACGCCCAGCCTGGCACACCGCCTTTCGCAGTCCCTGGGGGCAGCAGCTCGGGGGCTCACCTGCGAGCCCCCGGCCGGCCGGCCGGCCACCGCTCCGCCTTTCAGGGCCGGCACCGGCCTCCCCGTGACCGAGCTCTCCTCCTCTTCCTCACCTTGCCCTCCGCTCTGCGTTTGGCCTGAGACCCGTCCGTGTGCCCCTGCCGGGCAGGAAAGGAAGGCGGCCCAGGGAAGCCGCCTCAGTTTCCCCCGCGCAGAACGCGCCCGCCAGATCCGAGCCCCCCCCAGCCCGTGGGGGAGCTGCGCTCGGCAGCTGCTCCCACCCTCCGCCCGCCATCGGGAGCCTTTGTCTGCCGCGCCGGAGCCGTGACGAGGGAAGGGCGAGTGACAGTTCTGCAGCGAGCGCGGAGGAGCTCGGTCCCAGCCCCCTGCAAATTATTTGTGTATTAAATTGTTTCCGACAGCTCGAATTATCTGGCAAGCAGCCGCAGCCCCCGCCCCGCTCCGTGCCGCAGCTGGGGATGCGGGCGCCCGGCACCTTCCTGCACCGAACGCTCCAGCTGCCATAACAGAAATGGGCCTGGGGGGCCGAGAGCCCGGCGGGCACGGGGGGCTCTTTTCTCCAAGCCTCCGTGCCACCGGCGGGGGGTCGCAGCACTGCGAGGAGCGGCTTGGGTCGAGCCGGGACAAAGGCCCGCTTCTCCCAGCATGCCCCGTGCTGGCACAGGGCATGCTGGGAGTGGGAGTGGAAGGCCCCTTGCCTGGCCCAGCTCAAGCAGGGCAGGCAAGTTGCCTCCCCCCCCCCCCCCCCGGCAGGGCTCCCCTCCGTTCCCAGTGGCTTGCTCCGGAAGGCCGGCCGGAGCGTGGCCGCCGGTGGCTTGCACGCGGCTGATTCCTCCGTGCTGCCGTGTCGGACTTCACAGAGGCCCTCGTTCAGGGGCTGATGGGCTACGGTGGCGCTTTGGCTCTCTAATAAACGCCATGCACCCACCCACAGCCTCTTTCAGGGAGAGGCGGCAGCTGGAAACGGCCGGATTTATTTATTCTTTATTGACTTATTGAGAAAATTTCTGTGCTGCCCCATGCGCCGAAGCCTCGGGGCGGCTTACAAATAATTAGAATACACTAAATTAGGATCTGCCCGGATGCTGGCTGCTCGGATGGAGCCTCCCCCGGTGGGTCCCAGAGGCGGGCCTGCAGGGGGCTCCGAAGGGGGCCCCCCGTCGCGTGCTCGGCCGAGCCCCCCGGCCGGGCTGCGACCCGGCCGGCTTGCCCGTGGGCTCGGAGGGGGCGCGAAGGCGTGGATCCCGGAGCGAGCCCCTTTCCAGCGACGTCCGCACGCCAGGAGGGAATCTCCAAATGGCTCTGCGTAATGAGCGAGCGTCGAGGTTGTCTCTTCCCCTCCTCGCTTCTCCCCAAGCGTGGCTCGCGACAGATAGGGGTGAAATTTCCAACAAATGCCTGATTTGCCACAGATTATTTGCTTAGCTCTGCTAACGACGCGGGAGGGGAAGGGAATAAATCGGCGCTGGAGGGCCCACGAGCGGCTGGGAACAAGCACAGTGAGCGGCAGCCGCGCGTTCTGGCCGCGCCGTTCGCCAGGCGTGGGGCACTTCTGCGGCAGCGCCACCCCCCCGAAAAGCAGTGTTTCGTTCAGGCCTGTGCTGTGGCCCCGTGAGAGCTGTTGGTTCTCCCCGCAGCGCTGCACCCAAGCCCAGAAAGCAGTAAGGGCCAGCTCTGCAGCTGCTGAAGCGTCTCTGCCTTATAAACAGAGCAAGCCAGAAGGGTCCTCCCAGATCATCTAGTCTGACCCCCGGATTTGGCCAGCTCCACTCGCAACATGCTTCCCATAGCCATGTCTAGCCTGTCCTTGAACACCCACACTGATGGGGCCTCAGCGACCTCTCGTGGAAGCCCCTTCCACACCCTCGGGGTCCTAACCATCAGGAAGTGCTTCCTGGCATCCAAATGGGACCTTGGCTCCGTGGGAGCGCGTCCTGCCTTCCTCTGCAGGGGAGAACAGCTCCCTACCCACCTCCGTGTGACACCCCCTCACATACCTGTAAGTCACCAACAGATCCCCTCAGAGTCTCCTCCAGTCTCTTCTCCTTTCTTTCTTTTAAAAGCAAGCTTCTAGTCCCTAAGATAGACTTGAAAGCATGAGTGAGATTCCTGGCAAAAGTTTGAGCTAGGAGGACAGGACTGCACAGAATTGCCGCCGGGGAGGGGAGGGAGCCCCACGGCCCCCTGTAGCCGCTCCCCATAAGTTGCCGGAGACAGATGCGGTAGGCGAAATGAGTTGGTGTCGATGGCCCAGCCGCCTTGTTTATGGAAATCGCCTTTATTTTTCCTGGCTGTGGAATGTGACATCCTTTGGCACAGCAATTTGAAATATATATAGCGTATCAGGCCATGATGTCAGGTGTCCAGAATATTTTGGACTGGACAGTTTTCTGGAAAGCCTTGCAAGGCAATTTGGGTTTATTTGCATAGGGTCATTTGTGTCTGGGCATTTTCCATTCGCACTGGGAAGTCTCCACCATAAGATCTAATTTAACGCGGGTACGAAGTACCAGACCGACGAAGAGCAAAGCTAAAGCGCTTCCCGCGGCCGTCTTTAGTCTCAGCGTGCCACGAGGAGAGGACTGAAATATCCAAGGGATGAGCAAATTAAAGCGCCCACGGAGCGATTTAATGCTCCGATCGGCATCCGGGGCGTTTTTATCGGGATGCTTGTAAAAATTTAGAGGCAGCTGCTTGTATTTCCCTCCGTGCGTCAATGCAGAAGAGGAACGGCGGAGCCGGCAGCGGTTGGCGCCCTCGTTCAGCCGGCCCCGGCTTGGTGTGCGTGGCTTGGGGACTCCAAGTCCCAGCATCCTTCCCTCAGCACCGGGTTGGGGACGGCTGCACAAGCTCGTTTGAGGAGCCCAAGGGCCTGCTGCGTGTGACGTGCCGGGCATGGTCCCTCGGGCTCCGTCCCGGCCGTGGGACGCATCGGTGGAGTTCCCTTTGGCAGAGACCCGGCTGGGCCTCCCCAGCAGGGGCGGCGTCGGGGGCGTGCTCGCGAGGGGCCGCCCGCGGAAAGCTGAGTCCCCCCAGCCCCGTGTCGGCAGCGGGCGGGCGCTCCGTGCGAGAAGGGAAACGCTCCACCGCAGGCAGGCGCTTGCCAGCCTCCCCTGGCAGGAGGTGCCGGAGCGCCAGCCCCCCCCCCCCCAGTGCCGGCCAGCCCTAGACGACGGGGGGCCCCAGCGCCCTCCCCTCAAGGTGCCATCCCCGAGGGGGTGTCCACGCACCCCAATTCCCATCGGCCCCGCCCAGCACGGCTACTGGCTCAAGAGGCTGCGGGTGTGGGGAGCTGCCCCCCCCTTCTGGAGGGGGGTCCTGGGAAGCGATCCGTGTTCCCACGGCTGCTCCTTCACCCTCCGGTGCCACGAGGGCAGCCCAGCCGCCCCGCAGCTTCCCGGGGGCCCCGTCCCCTGCCGTCGACCGGGGGGCTCGGGCATCGTGGGCGGCCCCCCGGCTCCCCCGAGGGGGGGTCCTCCGCCCAGGCCTCACTTTCTCATGCATGCCTTGCTGTGCTGTGTGTGCCGGTGGGGAAGGAGAGCCGAGCTGAGCGTTCGCGCGTGTCCCAGCCGGCAGGGGGCCGGGCCGCGTGCCAAAGCCCCGTGCCGAGCGGGGGGCACCCGCCAGCTTGCTAACATCTCCGTTTCCCCCCCGCAGCCCCCCCGGCTACCGGAAGTCCTTTTCGCACGACAAGTCGGACCAGGAGCGAGACCTCGTTGACGGCGCCCACAGGCCCAAGCACTCTGCCTCGAGCGACCCGAGCGACGCCGACCCGGACGGCCCGCCGGCGGAGACGACAGCATAGGCCCGGACCACCTCCCCCCGGCTGTGCAGACGCGGCCCGTGGCCTGGCATGGCCGAGGAGGCCCTCCGGGGCGACTGCTGCGCTCCTTCCGTGCCGTGGAGGGAAGCGGCCCCTCGGCTCGGACGCTCGTCCTCCTCGCGGCCGGAAGGGGTGGGCAAGCCCCTGCCCGCCGCGGGGCTGCCCCTCGTGCGCCGGACGGACGTCCCGCTCCCGCCAATCGCCTGGCGTGGCCTTCCCCCGTGGCCACAGGACCGGGCCGCTGCGGGCAGGGGGAAGCTGCGCCCCTCTCTGGTTTCTCCCCGCGTGAGAGAGCAAGCGAGCGAGCGTGCCCTGGGGGGCCGGGCGGGGGCTTCCTCTCGCGGCGCCCGACCCTCTCGCCTCGCTGCAGTCCTTCCCAGCGTCCCGTCTTCTCTCGTCGTGAACTTTGCTCGTTTTTCGTTAAACTTGAGCCAGGAGGCGCGTGGGGGGGAGCCGTCCGGGGCCCTGCTCCCCCCAGCCGGGCCGTTTCCTCCGTTGCAAAACCCGGTTTTGGCCCTGGAGCCCCCTCGCTCTTTCCACCGAGGCCTCGAGTGCAGAGCCGCCTGCTTTCGCTTCGCGCGTGCCGCGCCGTCCCTCTCCCCACAGTCTCTCGCACTTGGTTTCGGGGGGCGGCGCCAGTTACCCCGAGCATCTCCAGACCTACCTTTGGAAGCACCTGGGGGGCAGCAGAGACTCCCCCCCCTTTCTGCAACCGCTCGCCTGCCGCCTGGCACCCTGCGTGGGCTCCCACGTCGGACCGAGCCCGGCCACCTTCCTCCCGCGCACCGGAGGTCCAGTAGCCAAACGTGGCTGGATTATTCCCGCCCCCCCCCCCCCGGCCCTTTTGCACGAGAGCTTCCCTGCTTGCTTTCCCGGCAGACCTCCAAAGGCGCCTCCCGCCTGGGTCTCTCGCAAGCACACGCAGGCTGCCCCCTCTGCAACCTGCTCCCCCCATGCTTGCCTGCGCCCCGCTTGTAAGTTATACGCGACCGGGCTCGAGGCCGGGGGCGAGGGAGGCCGGAGGGGGCCTTCCTGCTCCGCCCCGCTCCCCCTGGGCCTGGGTTTGGGGCACCTGTTTTGCACTAGTGCAGTTGATCTCTTCTCTTCTCTTGGCCCCTCCTCGTCTGTCGACTCTGAACAAGAAAATAAACGGCATTTGCGGCTGGGGGCAGCCTCCTGCTCATCCGCATCGTCTTTGGGAGGGGCGTCCGTGGATTTCCTGGGGAGGGGAAAAGAGGGGTGCGCGTTGCCCACGTCCCTCACCGGGGGGAGGGCTTCTTCGCGGCTCGCCCGGGAACGGTAAAAGCGGCTCGCTTTGTCCTTGCGGTCCGCTAGGCTGGGTTTCTGGAGGGTGGAAGAGTCTGGGTGCGGGAACTCGTGGCGGGCACTTGGAGGAGGTGGGCCAGGAGGGCCTCTTGGTGACCCAACGGGCCATGGGAACCCCACGCCCTCCCGCAGTTGTTGAAGTTGTGGGGCGCATAACGCAGCTCAGCATCCGCGTCTCCTGACGCCCAGCCTGAATCTGGGTTGTCGCGGCTTGACTTGATTCTTCCGTGTCCTGCACTCTGGCCTTTGCAAGAAGAGATCCTGACCTTCCTCTTTGCGGCAGCCTTTGGGGTACTCGGAGGGATCTCATGTCCCCCCTCCGTCTTCTCAAGGCTGGACGTGCCCAGTTCTCCCAGTCTCTCCTCACAGGGCAGTGTTTCCAAACCCTGGATCATTTTTGTTGCCCTTCGCTGGATCCTTTTCAATTTCCCTGCATCGTTCTTAAATCTTGGTGCCCAGAACTGGACACAGGACTCCCGGCGAGGTCTGACTCGCAAGGAGTATAGAGGGGCGACCACTTCTCGTGATTTGGAAGTCATACTTCCATGAGAGCCCATTCAAGTAACCTGTGGCAAAGTGCTACATTTGGGTTTTTGGGTTCCCTGGAATTAAAGCCACCAAAATCTTAACAGGACACCCCGTTTTCTAACCCTAACCCTACCCTGGTGCACACCCCTACTCCTAATAGAGGGTGAAACTTCCATAGAAAAGAGGGTGCTTTTGGAAAAGCCTTCCTAGAGTCGCTTTTTCTGCACAGCTCATCTTTTCTGCCCCTTCTAAAGACATTCCAACCCTCAGAATCATGCCAGGACACCTCGTTTTTCCAACCCTAACCCTAACATAGGGCTAAGTTTCCACTGAAAATGGGGCGATGGAGCATAGAGGAGCTCCGCACCAGCCGTCCAGTCTGGAAGAAATCCACAGGGATCGCGCTGGGCGAGGAGTCTCGGCTGCAGCCGGACTCCATGGTGCACCTTCCCAGGTGCCCCCGCCGTAACCCATAAAAAGCCGCTTTGTGTGTCTGGAGGAGCAGCGAGCGCTGAGACGCCTGAAAGGGCCAGTCCACGCTTCTGCGGGGCTGAGTCCCTCGTGGCCACAGAAGCTGCCCGCGCGACGTTGGGCCTCGGCCTGGCCTACCTCACAGGGTTGTGGTGCGCGCGGCAGAGGGAAGAGGCGTATGTTGGCTGCCTTGGATTCCTCGCAGGGGGAAAGCAGGGAGGACGTGATCTGAGCACGGAGAGCATTAGGCGGCCGTGGTAGCGCATCTCCCTCGCGTGTGGCCTGGCGGGGGGCCCACAGTCGCCCCCTGCAGCCAGCCAGCCGGAGCGCAGGGTGCCGGCGAAGATGATCTTCTCCCCACGGGGACGTGGCACTGAGATGCTAATGTGTTAGCTCGGGATGCCCTTAAAAGAAATCCATGCTCTGGCATTTACACCTTTAAAAAATCCATAATGTGCCAAGAGGCCTCAAGGAAACTCTTCACACTGGGTTTAAAAACACGGCTCCGTCTTTGTTTAGAGCAGCTCCCCAAATTAACCCATTTCTTCCTTTGGCGTCGGGCGAAAATCGCAGCTCTTCCGGAGACCTTGGCATCTGGGCGTCCCAATTAGAAATCGCCGTGCTTTGGAGCGGGGCTTCAAAACGTCCTGTCTGTCCAGCGCTGGACCCACGAACACCCTGTGCCCCCTCCCAGCTGCGGACGTGCCCCATCGGGGGCCCTGAGGAAAAAGGTAGTCGAAAAACCCGCTGGGCCCAAAGCCCCCGAGCCGTGGGGCCGGCCCTCCCGGGACGTTGGGTGAGCCAGCTGCCATGGGCGGCACGTTTGGGGCACAGATTCGTCGGTTGAGTAATCGGGCGCTTGGGCCGGTGATCCTTCGTGCCGCATGGCATTGTGTGCGCAGATAGGGAAGGGGGCCGGATGCTTCGCCTTGGGGGCCCGGCCGTCTGGGGTGGCCCCTACCCCAAAATACCGGGGTGGGATAGAGCTCGGGGGATCGCGCAGGCCCCGCGGTCGCCTTCCGCCCGATCCGCCCCCCGTGGCTTTCCTCGGGAAGGTTTTTTCCAATTGGGGGGGGGTGCGTCCCTTTTCCGGCAGGGCCGTGGGGCAGAGATTTATGCAAATGTGCCGGCTCTTTCCCATTACCATAACTTTCAATAATTAATGAGAACAGCTCGAGGGCTCCGATTCTCTGCTCCTCATCTGCATATTTATTAAGGGCTATAAATGATTCAGGACCCGCGCCACCCACCCGGCGAAGCAGCCGCGGACACGCCAGCCTGGCGCACGCGCCTCCCCCCACCCCACCCCCCACCCCCCCAAAACCTGACCGCTTCCCGGCAGCTGCGCCTCGTCCCTGCGGTGCGCTCCGAGCGAGGCGTACGGCGGGTGCAGACGGGCCGTTTTTGGCCACGGGGCTCGGCTGTGTGGCCAGAAGGACGGGGACCCCCCCCGGCTCCCCCCCCCGGCTCGGGGCCTCGCCGGTTGTCCCTTCACCGGCCGCCCGCAGGCGATGCCCTCGGCTGGCCACGTGCCCCCAGCCCTCCGCTGGCTCGGGCTCGCTCGCCGGCCTCCTCCGGGGGCTCTGGACGGCGCTCCCCCCGCCCCTCAGCCCCACCCCGGGTTCCTTGGGGCTCTGTGGCTTTCCCTGGAAAAGCGCCCCTCTGCTCACGCTCTGTGGGAACGCAAAGCCATGCGAAGACCCGCGGGGAGAAGGGACTGGTCGAAACGTTCGGGGGCTCCCGAAGGCTTACTCGACCCCCCCCGCCCCGCTGCAGAAATATCTGGATTTTGCACGAGGTTTGCAGCGGGAGGAAATGCCATGGCAACACAGCGCCAACATCGGTGTGGCCCCTCTTATCTCCTCGGTGCTGCGGGGGGCTGCCTCTTGGGGGCACCACGCAGGACAGAGGCGTCGGGCCACGTCATCATGAGAAGCCCCAGCCGCCACGAGCAGGCCGGCTGGGGCGGATGGGAGCTGTAGTCCAGAACATCTGGCAGACGCGCAGTCGAGGGAGGCGGGTTCGGAGAGAAGCTGCTCCCAGGCCAGGGAAAGGGGAGGCTGCTTGGGCACTTGGGGGGGCACGACGGGAGGAGCGGGGGCTCGGGTCTCTTGCAGCCCCCCCAGCCCCAGCGGCTTTGCTGCAGTGGGCCCCCCCCCGATCCGGCCGGGGGCCGTGGAGCCGGCGTGGCGGTAATGCGCCTCTATTAAGCTAAGCCATCTAATGATAATAAAACGGAACATTTAACTTTAAAACATTTTGCTCGAGCCTGTGAAGTGTGCCGCGGAGGGGGGGGGCCCTCTTTTTTAATGAATTCGAACGCTCAATGACTTTGAGCTTCTCGCACGACTTTGGGCCGCGGCGCGGAGGCCGAGGGGCGGTGCCAGATTCCCGTGCCCTTTCCTTAATGGATCTTGGGCTGATGGGTGTTGCAGTCGGACGCCAGCTGGGGCAGATGGGCCGGGGGCGGGGCCTCGAGTCCGAAATCCTCTTGGCTGGATTGCGGGCCCGTTGGGGATGGTCCAGCCCCGAAAGAGAGTGGCCACCCGGCCGGCGTGGAGAGCAGAGCACAGGTGGCTCGAGGCATGAAGCCAGTTCAGGAGGGATGTTGGCCGCTTTCCCGGTCCGCGTGTCACAGCTGCGGGACGCTCAGAGCGAGGCTTTTGGGGACGTCGGGAAGCGGCTGATCCGGAACGGCGCCAAGTTGTAGGAAGGCTCTTCGCCCAGGCTCAGCTCGCTCAGGATCTTCCCGACCACTGGCGCCAGCTTGAACCCGTGTCCTGTGGAACGGACAGAAAGGCCCAGTCCAGGCACCCTCCTCGCCCTTCAGCCCCTCTTGCAAAGCCTCTTTCTAACGGCGGGCAAGACAGCTCTAAAAGCGCTCTAGTCGCGTGGGAACCTAGCCTCTGCTCATGTTAGGAAGGCTGGGCGCCCTCCTGACGGAGAAGGCCCTCCAACACCAGTGGCTGCAGTCCTCTGCACGGCAGTTGCTGGGGAACATGGGTGGGAGGGTGGTGACGGACGCTGGGCCTGATACGGCCGATGAGCCAAACCCCCGGGAAATGGGCTCCTCTCAAGCAGACCCAGCGCCCGCCTGGCCCCAAATCCCACCTCCCCCGGAAGCCTGCAGGTTCGGGCACTTCCCGGACTGAAACCAGTTCGGTTCCCCCCCCCCATCTCGTTTTTCCTGGGTGCGATTGGCTCCCCCAGACGTCGTGGGTCTGCGTTTCGGCGCCCGGTTCGCCCGCGCCCTGCCTTCTGTTGGCAATCTGGCTAGACGGGCACGTCGGCGGGAAAGGATTTCCCATCGTGGCGCGCTCCGAATGCCGGTCTTTGCAAACGGAGCGACTTCTCTTTGCGCTTTGGCGCCGTGCGCACCCATGTTTTGCGTCGGGGGCCCCGCTGCAGAGGCCAGGGAAGCGTGAATTTCGAAGGGAAGCTTTGCATCCCGTCGCCTCGTCTGGAAAGTGCAGAGCTGGGCGAGTTGGCCTTCGAAGGGGGTCCAAAGGAGCGTGCGCCTTTCTCGGCCCGTGAGCATCGAGATCCGGCCCCAGACGCTCCCTGTGACCGCCGAGTGATTCTCCTGGCGATGGTTTAATCCCGACCCACGTCCTCGGCGCCCTCGTTGCACTCACCCGAAAACCCTGCTCCAATGGCGATGTTCTGAAAACGGGGGTGCCGGTCCAGCACGAAGTCCCCATCTGGGGTGTTCTAAGGGGGAGAAAGGAGACGGGATAGCTGCGTCCTTCCCGATTGCGGGTGCATCTTGACCAGCTGGCCGCTGCTTCCAGGGCGCTTGGCAGTCTCAAAACCGAGCTATAAAAGACTACAGTAACAATCCCCCCCCCCCAATAGAACAAGAGGCGAATAAAAATAATTTACTGATAAGCGTTCAGAAGAGGGAAGTCTGAGCCGGCGTGTTGGGGGCAATCGATCTCCCGGGCAGCGGAAGCAAAACTGGCTTTATTCCTGTTGCCCGGTGAAGCTAGGAGTTAAAAACGAGTTTAACATGCAAAACCAAAGGTGTCCGGAGTGCTGCTTTTTAATCCGGGGTATCGGACCCACCCCTGCACCCGTTTCCACCTAGCGTGTCGGGAGCACGGGAGTTAGGCCCTCGGAGGGGATGTGGGGAGAAGCGCCCCCATGCCGAGCCGTCTCGCTTCTCGCCTTCAAAACCATTTTTAGCACACGCGCAGCTCCCGCTGACAGGTCCTGTGGAATCCGTTCAGTGTTTCCCGGATTGCCAGGCGTTTTCCGGTCCGCCATCCGCGAAACGCCGGAATGGGATCTTTCCCAGCCAGAACGCGGCTCTGTGCCCGTGGACGTGGCTGCCTTCCGGTGCCTCAGTCGCTTCCCACGTTTGCAATTTTGCAGCCCGTTCCAAGAGTTTGGAAAGCCTCTCCGGACCCCCTTGCGATGCACGTGTTCGGAGCAGGTGCCCCCCCTTCCCGGCACCTGTGAAGGACACGCCGCTGCACCCGCCACGGCCACCCTCCAGCCCCCTTCCCCCCTGTACCGTGTACAAGCAGCACTCCTGCAGGGCTGGCTCGGGGTCAAGCCCTGGCAGATACTTCCTCAGGAAGTCCTGTAGGATCGGGATGTCCGGGACTGGGGTGGCGGAGCGGTCCAGCTGGCCGGGGTCGTCTGGATCCACCCTTGAGCCGTGGTGGTAGCAGATCTACGGGGTCGGGCCGGGGGGGGGGGTCAGGCTGCAGGCCAGCCGCAGAGGCGCTGCCTGTGGGCAAGAGAGCCCGGCTCCCTCCCTGGCCTCTCCCGGCACGGCTGGGCAAGACCCTGGCTGCAGCCCTGCTGCCGGCCAGAGCCGGCTGCACAGGGCATCGGCCCGGATGGACAGGCAGCGCAGCCCTGTCTGGTTGCTTGTTGAGGGTCGGGGGGCCTTGGCAGCAGCCCTGCGGAGCCGCAGGGGCCGCTCGGTGTTGGCCCCCCATGCCAGATGGACGAGGGCTCAGGCTTGTGTGGCTCCTGGTGCCTCGGAGCCCCTTCGGGCCTGGACCCCTTTGCGGTGCCCACCCCGGGCAGGGGGACGCCGCCATGGGCCTCCCCCTTCCCGCAACCCCGTGCCCGGCCTCGGCCGCCCCCACCTGCACGCACCTTGACGAGGCCCGGGTGCTCGCCGGCCGGCAACCCGAAAATGTCGCGCTTGCCGCCGCCGAGGTGGATGCCGATGAAGGCCGGGAGCTGCTCCACGAGGCTGCGGGCGCCGGGGTCCTTGGCCCGCCAGTAGCAGACGCTGATCCGCAGGGGCTGGGGGAGAACCCTGTCAGGGGAGCGGGCGCTCGGGGAGCAAACCAGCTGCCTCTGCAGCCTTCCGGCAGATGGGGGCAGGAGTGCCACCTGCCCAAGCGCCGCAGCCATGGGGGGACGCGGGCAGGCCGCCCCCGATCTGCCCCCTCCCCTTCTGAAGGGGCTCCGCCACTTCTCCAGGGCCGTGCGAACAGGTTTGCCCCTTTACCCCCCCCCAACCCCCCCCCCAGCTGCCCCTTTTTTTCCCCCCCCCCCCGACGGTCCCTTTCGCAGGAATCCTGCCCTCCCGCCCCCTGCACTCCACCCATCACCGTCGGCGGCTCTTCCCGCCCTTCTGAGCGGGTCCGTCCGGTGCCGAGCCGTTCCTTGCCTTTATTTCCACACCCTCCTCCTGGCCCACCCCGGTATTTGCCCGGGCCCCCGGCTGCCCCCCCGGGGCCGTGCTCACCTGGAGGGGCAGGGTCCGGCCCAGCGGGGCCAGCAGGCGGTTGGTCCAGGGGCCTGCCGCCAGCACCAGGCGCCTGGCCCGGTACTCCCCCCGGCCCGTGGCCACGGTGACCACAGCGCCGGGCTGGATGCGGAGCACCTCCTCGCCGTCCCGCAGCGTCCCTCTGAGCCGCCGGAACTGGTCCTGGGGGGTGGGCAGGCGGGAGTCAGTGAGCTGCGGCCCCCAGCAGCGAGAACGGGGGGGGGGGAGCCTTTTCCTGCAGGGTCACTTGAGCTGCCGTTCCCCAACCAGGTGCCCTCCAGGTGTTTCGGCTGCCTCCCTGCCGCATTTCCGACCATCAGCATTTGGGCTGGGGCTGATGGGATGTGCAGTCCAAACATCGGGAGCGCCCAGCCCCTTTGACTCAGTATTTGCCGGGGGGGGGTTGCTTTATGCACGGAGGCACCAGCTGAGGCGGGGGGGGGGGTTCGGTTGCTCTTGGGTTTGACTTTGCTCTGAGTTCTGTCAGCTCCGTTGGAGCCCTTTGGGTTGGAAAGCGGCGATAAAGGAAGCGCAGCTCCTGATGAATCCACCCCCCACGTGCACCCGGGGGCTGGGGGGCTGTTCTGGGAGCCCCCCGGGTGGGAGCAGTGGGTTCTGCTGTCCGACCGGCTGACTCTGGGCACACGCTGGGGGGTCTTTTCCTCCCCTGGAAGGGGCGCCTCTCCTGGGCAAGCCCTGCTGGGGGCCCCTGATGGCAGGTGGGGGGCAGAGCAAAACAGGCCCGGCCGCTCTGCCATCTGTCCACCCCGCCAGCCCGCCTGCCCGCCCTTCCTTGGCGCTCTCCCCCACCCATCTCTCTCTCTGCCCCCTCCTCTCCCCCTCGCCCCCACCAGCCTGCCTCCCCCCGCCTCCCCCTTCTGTGGGTCTCTCTCCCCGCCCCTCCACTTCTCTCCCACGCAGCTGCTTCCGGTCTTCTCTCTCCCCACCCGGTGGGGAAGACGCTGGATCGTGCCTGCCGCAGCTCTGGGCCGCCCCCCTGCAGACGCCAAGCCGGGGCACCCCCTTTGTCGGCGGCCGAAGCAGGACGGGCAGCCGCCGCTGCCCCCGGGGAGCCGGCGAGGCGGCCTTGATGGCGAGGAAGACGATGGGGGGGGGCGTTACCTGGACGGCTCGCAGGGCCCTGTTGGCGTGCAGCACCCCTGCGGTCCGGTCGCACACGGCCATCTCCCCGCCGTGCGGGCAGAGCCCGGGGAAGCGCTGGGCCAGGGCTTCGGGGCACAGGACCTCCCCCGGGACGTGGTGGCGCTCCATGGTGCTCCGGTAGCCGCGGAACTGGGGGTCCTCCGGCCGGCCCAGGACGAGCAGCGGCGCCGGCCTGCGGAAGAGGGCTTGCCGGTGGGGCATTCGCTGGCGAACGGGGCTCCCTTCCCTTTCCGCCTCCCCTGCGCCGCCTCCCCCTTGTCTCCTCACAGCAACCCTGCGAGGTGGGCCAGGCCATGCCACGGGGCCCCCCAGGGAGCATTGGGGCAGCGGGCACCAGAACCCTGGCCTCCCGAGGCCCGCCCAGTGCGGTAACCAGTGCGCCACGCTGCCTCCCGCCCGGGCTTTCGCCCGCTCTGTGCCCTGGGGCTCGGCAGAGAGCCTTGTTGGCTCGTGGGCACAGGGAGGGCTCCACCAGAGCACCCCAGGGGCCGCGTGAGCACAGGGCCAGCCCCTCCGCCTGGGCCCCGGGGCAGGAGTGACCCCCCCCCCAACAGGCACACACCTGCCTGCTCACCTGTACAGCCGGGTCCCGGCCGCCGCCTCCAGCTGTGCCCAGAGAGGGAAGGCCTCTGCCATCATGGCCGTGTAATAGTCCTGCGGGTAGGCGGTGCGGATGATGCGACTCTCGCCGTGGGAGCTGCCCTGGGTGTGGGGCAGGCGGAACTGGGGAGAGAGGCGAGACGCGCCAGGTCGGGTCTGATCCTTCCCCTTCCTGGTCTGATTTGGTGCAAATCTCCCCGCTGGGGTCTGAGGAGGGAAGCCGCACAGATGCGGAACTGCGGGGAAAGGCGCACGGCTCGCGATCGCCAAGGCGAGCCAGGACCATGCGCGGAAGCAATGGCCAGCCTGCTTCTCAGCCGGGGCTCCAGGACCTGCTCCTCCTCCCGCCTCTGAATCCTGAAAACCTCAACTCCTTTCCCTCCCCGGAAGGGGAGTTTTGCTAAGCTCGGTCCTTTGCAGTCAGAACCGGCCGCATCGCCCTCTGCGCCGGCCTGGCCCAGGGGGTGCCGCCGTTCCCACCTGCTGTGCCCGCTTGCCACGGGGCCCCCGAAAGCCGAGGACACGCCGGGACTAGTGAGTGAGGCAGCCACCCTTTGCAGGCAGTCCCCGGGTGCGCGGACGTGGCGGCCCCCTTCGCTTCCTCCCCGGCGCAACCTTCTCTCTCCCGAGTTCTTGCGCTGTGCTCAAGGCACTGCCCGCCTGGCCGACGCCGAGGGGCGAGCCCCCCATCCTGCCGGGCGCCTTGTGGCCCCCGTCTGGCCACCCCAGGCATGAGCGAGGGGCAGCCCCGGCGGCAGTGATGCCACGCCGCCGGCACGAGACACGGGGGGGGGGGCCTTCCATGCGCACCCCTACCTGCTCCAGCAGGAGGGTGCGCTGCCCGCGCCGGGCGAGGTGGAGGGCCGTGAAGCTGCCTTGGATCCCGGCGCCCACCACGATGGCGTCGTAGGGGCTGCCGGGGGCGCCTTGCTCCTGGCCGGCCATGGCTGCCCGGGCGCCTCCACGGCCGAGCGGACCTGCGAGCCGGACAGGAGGCCGACGGCGGCCTTTGGACTCGGCCGCACTGTGCCAGAGCGGGGCGGGGGCTGGACTTTGCCTCCCCGCCCAGCGTCCACTGGCCCCAGTGCTGCTTTGGGGAGGCAGCCAAGCGGGGAGGGGGGCGCTGGAGAGGTTTTCTGGCGTGGACAATGTTTTTCCTCTGGGGGGGGCGGTGGCACAAAGACTCGCTTGTACCAGGATGGCGGGATTAGTCATCCAGCCCCGTCTTCAGAGGGAGGCGTCGTTCTAAGAAGCATTTGGATTGACATTTGGCAGAGCAAGTGGAAAGACTCTGCCCGGTCTTGGCTTTCCTTTTTTAAAGCGGCAAGATTCTAGCCCTCATGGCTGCTCGCAGGTACTTCACCTCTTTTTCTGCTGCGCGTATAGTTACGGTAGCTGTGGATCTTTCTCGTCGTGCATTTTAAGCTGGGCTTTTATTCATTTATCTTTCGCCACGTCGGTTCAGACACGGAAAGGCACCGCGGTGCTCTCGCTCCCCCCAGCTGTCTGTTGGTTTCCAGCTGGTGCGTAGGGCCCTTGGTATTTTGGGATCGGCCTTTCGCCTCTGAGCCCACCCCAGCTCCGAAATGTGGCCTTCGAGTGTGCTTCCAAAAGGGAATTCGCTCCGCAGGCGGAAGGAAGCTCAACACGGCGCTTGACAGCAGCGTCTTTATCATGTCAGTGTGACAGAAGTGCCAATTACGCCCACCCGCACGAGCGCCTGCCCCCACCCCGAATCTCTAGGGCAACCCACAGCAGCTGACAGACTCGCCCCCCCCCTTTGGCCGCCTGCCAGCCCCCGCCGTTCTGGAGCTAGCTGCCCTCTTCCTCTTCCTCTCCCTGTCCTCTGTCCTGGCCTACTCTTTCCGCAGTCCGGGAGGCAGCCGAGCTCAGCTCGCCCCACGGACCCACAGGACGGCTCGCCAGCCTCGCCTTTCCTGCCTCCCGGCACCGCGACCCGGATCCCGCTTGAGCAGTGGGGCGTGTTTGAGCCGCGGATTGGCGACCCGAGCAGCTTCCTGCGGTTTTGGCTCGGCTCGACCTTCGCAGTGGCCGCGAGCCAGCAGCCGAAGCACGGGCCCTCGGCATGTGGCGGCGGTCCAGGGACGGCCCGGCGGCCGGAACGCGCGGGGTGGGCGGCCCTGCGAAAACGGCAAGCCGGAGCCCCGACCTCAGGAACGTCCCGGCTGGCGAAAATGGGAATGCGCAGGAAGTCCAGGCAAGGACGTTGGCGGGCCCTGCAGCCCTGCCTTGCAATACCAGGGAGGGGCTGCGGACCCCCCCTTTGGTCCGCCTGTCTCGATGCCGGAACCCCTGCCCGGGTCGTGGGTGCCAAAGCTGCAGGGCCCAAACCGGAGCCCAGGCGAGGCCAGGGACCGCCGCACAAACCCGCGTCCTTTTTTTGAGCGAGGGGGGGGGACACCTTGAAGGCTTCCCAGACTGAATCCTCCTCCTCAGATCTCATTACCAGAAGTGATGGGAGAGCTGAAGAAAGGTAATGATCAAGTCTAGGTAAGGATTCGAACTGAAGGTCACAATTACGTGGAAATGGCGCTTATGAAGCACATAACCCTTTTTTTTTTAAACAACCTTGATGCATCAGATGTCAAAGTAGAAGTGCTGAGGGTTGATTTGCATAATGAGGGAATGACAGATAACCAATGAGACATTACAGAATGGATGTGGAAATAGAAGGGCGTCTATTTCAGTGACGTATCGAATCCTAAATTCATGGAAATGATATAATTTCTGACATTATCTGTCTTGTTCCATTGATTAAGGCACAGGGGATAAACCGGGAAGTTCTGCTTCAGATGTAAATAGCGCAAATTGTGGTGCTGAAAGACAAAAAGGGAATAAACGGCGCCTTAATGCTTGACGTAGAAAGGAGAAAATTCGATTTTCCAGAGAAGAAAGATGAACATTCGCTTCTCGAACGGTCCAGCGAGAACAACGGTGTGCCTTGAAGTGTGGAGGGACAATTTTCATTAATGCCAATTCTGCATTTGGGGAAGGGCTGGGCGGCCTCGTGTGATCTGGGGAAGATTGGATTTCAGGAATGCATCGTCTTTCCAGGTCAACTGCACACCAGCCTTTTTTAGCAAAAGAACCTGATGCACATTCCTGAAGTGGAAATTACTTTGTGAGGTGATTTCCAAGGGGCAATGAGCCACACGGAAGGGGGAAGAGCTGACTGAGAAATCGGATCCCTTGATTAGAGATCGGCCGAGTTCAGCGGTGGGGCAATGCACCCTGACCCACGGCTGCCCCCCGGCCAAGCTCGAGCGCCGGCTGGTTCCTGCCTTCCGTGCCGTTTTCTGTGCGTCCTAAAAGGCCTCCGCAGGCTGGGTTGGAGCCAGCGGGAGTGTTGGGTTAAATCGGTGCCGTTGGGGGTTTGGGCCCTCCCACGTTGCCTCGGGGTGGCCTGCAGGAGCCCCCGAGTGGGATTCGGCCCCCGGGCGGCAAGCGCTTCGGCACCCCGGCCTCCGCGGCCCCAGATCCGAGCACGCCGTGTCGGCAAATACCCGGCTGCCGCTTGGCCTCCGGCTCTGCACGGCGGGCCGTGACCTCGTGTTAACCTTGGCGGTCTTGCCCCCCGCTCAGGACATGGGGCTTCCCGTCTCGCTTTTATCGGGGGGATTAAGCTGCCGCAACAAGCTGCGCACCCAGGCCAGCCGCTCCAGAAAGGAAGGGGGCACCTTTGCGATTGCCTCCCGGAGTGAATTGCCCCCTAACATCCGTTTCGCTCTCTCGCCGAGGCGGCCCCCTCTTTGCACTTCGATCGTTGGTGTTTCCGAACCGCCCCCTGGTCCAAGCCGCCCGGGCAGCTCGTGGCAATTCCAAGCACAGACACGGGAATAAAGTAGGACCAGTCCTGAGATGAGATGCCACTTTGCAGCAGGTTCAGCCCCTGGGGGCCCCGCCGGAGGGCTTTCGAAGCCCGGTGGTCCCCCGTGGGGGGCAGCCTGTAACCCTCGGCTGCTTCGGACCCCATCTCTAGAGAGCACTAGCTGGGTAAAGCTGATGGATAGGGCGCTGCCCCCTCTCCTTCCGAGGATGCTGGGATTTGTGGTACGACACCTCTGGAAGGCCCTGGAATGGGGAGGGCCCCCTCAGGCAACCAGCAGACTAGTCTCTGCCCCAAGGAACATACAGTCTGAATTCCAGTGGAGGGAAGACAAAAGCAGTGAAGAGATGGGGACAGAAAGACCAACTTTTTGGGTCGGTCTTTCTGCCCAGACTGAGCCCAAGACCCGACTGCAAGATGGCTTTTTCGGGAGGGATGGAGAGAGGCAGATGCCAGCCTGCAGCTCACACGGTTCCTTGAACGTGAAGCAGGGTTTCTGGCCTCCCCCCTCATCGATTAGTAGCTATGTGCCAGGCAGAAATTCAACAGGTGCAGCTTGTGACGGGAAAACTGCACTCGTTGAACTTCTGCCAAGCGTGCAGATGTTAACGGCATGGAGCATCTGTTGGGAGAGAGGAGGAGGAAGAGAAGGGAAGCCATTACAAACGACACAATACTGTGTGGTGTTCTTCACATCTCCGTTTGGCTCGGTGGGCTGGACCCTCCCTGCCACCCCATTGAATGGTGGCCCATAGATGCTAATCATAACCATGACGGACCGTTTCTTTGCAATGACTTTCAAATGCAGCATTTTTGGCACGGCGGGCGGGGGGGGGGAGAGGGAGTGCTTGTAAACAGCTGCTTTGGCTGGCTGGCCCCACATTGCGGAACGAGGCTGTTTTCCTTAAAAGGAGATTGAAAATTTCTCTTATTTGCCCCCAAAAGTTTGGTAAGTCATCAAAAACTCCAATGGGAGCTGAATTCTCAGCCATCTGTGGCAACCAGTTTCTGAGGATCATGTGCTGTTTGGTAGCTGCTAAAAATTAGGAGCTCGTTATGATAAAAGCTTTGGCAACCTTAATTTGGTATTGCAAACATGGCCAAATGCACAGGGATTCAATGCCAGGCTTTGAAATGCTAAACATACAAAGTTCTGGACCTAGTTAGAGATGTGTTGTTTTTAGTTGCTCCAGCTTCAGAATATCCAGTCCTCCCTCCCTCCCTCCCTCCCTTCCTTCCTTCTTCCTTCCTTCTTACCAAAAATATTTCTATTCTCTCTGTTTCTATTTGCATGGAACTTAAATATGGGGACACTCCCTTGTTTTCCAGCAAGCTTTCCCGACCAAGTTGTAGGGATGCGTGGAAAATCGGAACCATCCAGGCCAGGTGTGAAAATGTGTGAAAAACGGGGCGTTGAAAAGTGCACACAAGAATATTTGCGTCCACGGGGAAGATGGCACATGCTACAAGAACTGGTGTGCGCGGCTGAAAAACTATACATGAGAAATGGAAAAGAAGCGCACCTGATCTGAGCTGAAAGACGTTTTGAGGTGGAATTTGGAGAGGTAAATTTTGTGGATTTGTTCATCTGTTACTGACGGCGCCACCATATCGAAATAGTTTGAGAACGGCTCCGTAGGATTTTTTTGGCGAGTTTTTCCGAGGTCGGCACGGAATCCAAAAGTGTGGCAAGGTCTGGCGCATAGGATCGCGCATTTGGATGCCAGGAAGCACTTCCTGACAGTCAGGACCCCAAGGGTGTGGAATGGGCTTCCAGAGAGGTCATTGAGGCCCCATCGGTGAGGGTGTTTAGAGATAGGCTGGACGTCCACATGGTGGGCATGTCATGAGCGGAGCCAGCTGGTGCCGGAGGTCAGACTGGAGTATTGTGCTCAGTTTTGGACCCCTCATTACAGGAAGGATATAGCCAGGTTGGAGTCAGTGCAGCGCAGGGCCACAAGGTTGGTGGCCGGTTTGCAGGGGATGCCGTATGAGGCGAGACTGAGGGGACTGGGTCTCTTCAGCCTGGAGAGGAGGAGACTCAGAGGGGATCTGTTGGTGACATGCAGGTATGTGAGGGGGTGTCACACGGAGGTGGGCAGAGACCTGTTCTCCTCTGCAGAGGAAGG